CTAAGACGCAAACTGCGCTTAGACGCAATCTGAGTTTAGACGCAATCTGCATTTAGACGCAAACTGCGTTTAGACGCTAACTGTGTTTAAACGTAAACTGCACTTAGTCATAAGTTATCTTTGAGTCGGCTTTTGCTTCAAAACTGATTTTTATCGAACGAACGCAGCTTTTGTTTTTAATCGCTAAAAGATATCCGCTGCACTAATTCACCCCCCCCTCTTAGTGCTCTCGATCCTAACATTGTCAACCTGGGCTGACCGACGCTCAACAAGTTAAAGGCGGTGGTTTCCACCTACCATAGGGCCATCAAGTTTCCGACCTCGGCATGGATCGGGGAGTCCCGAAGTGACCCGGGAGAGTCAAGGTGATGCTATCTCATGGTGGTCACTCTCTCGAGGAAATCATGCCCAAGTCAAGTCCCCGACCCCCGTGAGGGACCCATAGCACTGATGCTGTTGGAGCCTCCCAAGCAACTCACCGAGGTTCCCCTGAAAAGGAGTCGACCCGATCTGACCGTCAAGGTCGGGACAATGCTCCCCGAAGCAAATCAGCTCCACCTCATCGACTTCCTGAGGAAAAACGTCGATATCTTCGCATGGTCCCCTGAGGAGATGCCCAGGATTGACCCAGAAGTGGCCCAACACCGGCTCAACATCGACCCCGAGGCTCGGCCGGTGAGACAAAGACCAAGGAAGTTCGCCCCCGACCGACAGAAGGCAATCAACGACGAGGTCGACCACCTTAAAAAAGCATGATTCATTACCGAGGTTCAATATCCTCGGTGGCTATCGAATGTAGTCCTTGTTAAGAAATTTAATGGAAGCTGGAGGATGTGTGTTGATTACACCGATCACAACCGGGCATGCCCCAAGGACTGTTATTCACTTCCCAGGATAGACCAACTAGTCGATGCCACCGCGGACTATGAACTCCTTACGTTCATGGATGCATTCTCGGGCTACAACTAAATTCAAATGGCAACTCAGGATCAAGAGAGCACCACCTTCATCACCAACAGAGGGGCGTATTGCTACAAAGTGATGCCCTTCAGCCTAAAACACATTGGGACGACTTACCAAAGGATGGTCGACAAACTTTTCAAGCACCAGCTCGGGAGGAATATGGAAGCATATGTCGACGACATGATCTTAAAGAGCAAGGCTATAAGCGTGCACTTGACCGACCAGGCAAGTGCACGCTGAATCCCGCGAAGTGTGTCTTCGGGGTCAGCTCGGGGAGGTTCCTCAGCTTTATCATTCACCAAAGGGGGTTAGATGCCTACCCAGAAATGCGGGCCGTAACTGAGATGCACTCCCCTCGCTCAATCAAGGAGGTACAGCGACTTGCCGAGAAGTTGGCAACGCTCAGCAGGTTCGTGTCGCATTCGGGCGACAAGTGCCTCCCTTTTTTTTGGGCTCTACGACGGGCCAACAACTTTACATGGACCTTGGAGTGCGAAGAAGCCTTTGAAAAGTTGAAGGCGTGCCTCGCCTGCTTGCCCCAACTCGTCTCGTCCGAGCCGGGCGAAACCCTTTGTCTCTACTTGGCAGCTCTCGACGCATGTAGTCAGCTCGGTGTTAGTTCAGGAGACACCACCAATGCAGTAACCCATATATTATGTCAGCCATATCCTCGTCAGGCCCAAGGCGCGGTACTCCCCGATCGAGAAGCTAACCCTCGCACTAATGAAGATGACCCAAAAGTTGCGGCCCTATTTCCAAGCCCACATGATCAAAGTAATCACCAACCAGCCGCTACGACAGATCCTTTCCAACTTCGACGCATCAAGTCGGATGCTGCGATGGTCGGTCGAGCTCAGTGAATTCGACATTCAGTACTCCCCCAGGATTGCCATCAAAGCTCAGTTACTGGCTGACTTTATTTATGAGCTAACTCCTGAAGACCATGCTATGGGGCAGGAGAACAACAAGAGCACGTGGACCCTGTACTTGGATGGCTCATCCACTACTGGAGCAGCCAGGGTCGGGCGTATCCTTAAAGGCCCGTCAGGAGAAACCTACGAGAGGTCGCTCCAATTACAATTCTTAGCCACCAACAACGAGGTCGAGTATGAGGCGCTACTTCACGGCCTGCGCCTCGCTCTAGAGATGCATGTAGAAAACCTTGAAGTCTTCAGTGACTTCCAGCTACTAATGGGACACGTCAATGGGAGCTACGAAGCCCAGGACCCAACGATGGCGTTATACCTAATGGAGGCAAAGCGGCTCGCCCACCACTTTAACTGCCTCTCAATCGCTAGAATACCTCGGGCATAGAACACGCGGGCCGACGCGCTAGCTAGATCATCCTCCGCTCGCAGCCCGACATTGGCTCCTGAGTCCGTAACGGCACCGACGGTGATGACTCATGAGGTCGCCAAAACGGATGTACCATCAAGCTGAATAGAGGAGATCCTTTGCTTCAAGAAGGATGGAAAGGAGCCCGATGACCCGATGGTTGCGAGACGGTTGAGGCGAACCTAGGCCTGGTACTGCGTCATTGGCGGAAAGCTGTACGGAAGGGCCTTCTCTCAACCTCTCTTACGCTGTCTCGCGCCATCAAAAGCTGAAACGGTCCTCACCGATCTCCACAAGGGGATCTGTGGGGAGCACATTGGAGGACAAACCTTGGCCTTCAAGACTCTCCGACAAGGGTACTATTGGGCAAACATGCGTTGGGATGCCATGTCATTCGTGCAGCAGTGCCAACAATGCCAAAGGCACGCCCAACTGCAACACCAACCAGCGGTGCCTCTTACCTCGATGGATGCGGCCTGACCATTCGCCTAATGGGGACTCAATCTCCTTGGACCGTTCCCTCCAGCATCGAGATAACGACGCTTTCTTATAGTCGGGGTCGACTACTTCACGAAGTGGGTTGAAGCCGAACCCTTGGCCTCCATTACCGAAAAGCAAGTCCAAAGCTTCACATGGAAGAACATCATCACCCAGTTCGAGATCCCAAAAGCTATCATCATCGATAATGGAGCTCAATTCAACAATGCTAAATTCAAGGCCTATTGCTAGTCATATGGGATCCAACTGAGGTTCAACTCGGTTGTGCACCCCCAAACCAACGGCCAGACCGAAGTAATGAATCGGGCGATTTTGGAAGGCCTCAAGAGGAGGATCTCGAGCACGCACAGAGCTTGGGTGGATAGCTCCCCAGCGTCTTGTGGGCAATGCGAACGACTCCCAAAATTGCCTCGGGGGAGTCTCCATTTAGCTTGGCGTTCGGGACCGAAGCGGTCCTTCCGCCCGAGATGGTGTTCCCGACCCTGCGCACCTCCAACTACGAACAAGAAGGCTCTTAGAAGGGCCTACTGTCACGCCCCTCAAAATATCCATGATATTAAAAATTTTCATCACAAACTAATCCAGGATCCAAACTAACATTTGAGGACACTAAAAAACATTCTATCGAATTCACATCTATAAAACCTGTGCAGTTTATAATCATATATCACATCACTCGATAATTCACATTTATGGCAACCTAAGCCAACTTGTCAAACATGAACAACATTTATAAATCCACAAGCTAAATAAATTATACAATCAGAACTCCAACTATTCACCACAAGTTCATATCATCATACATTAAACTTAACATTCCAGAATCTTAAACATGAGAGGTCCTTTAAACTTATACAAAATCCACAAGTTTAGATTCATCGTCAACATTTCATTAGAAGCAGCGTGTGCTTATACAACAAAAACATATATACTAATAAAGATCTGCCCAAAATCTTTTAGCTTTCCACCGCCTCAGCCCAATCTTAACATTTAAGCAAGCGACAAGCTATCCTGAAAAATTTATACAACAACGGGGTGAGCATATAGAGCTCAGCAAGTGACTAACATATCCATGTCAAAATAGGACAATTTCCAAAGAGATAAAGTTTCGAAATACAAGGCAGAATATAAGAATTCATATACGTAATATCATTAGATGCATAATCAC